AAAAAAAAAAAAAAAAAAAAAAAAAAAAGAGCAGTTGTTGCTCTTCCAGAAGACCCAGGTTTGATTCCCAGCACCCACACGGGAGCTCACAACTGTCTCCAACCCCAGTTCCAGAGGATCCAGTGCCCTCTTCTGACCTCAGTGGGGCCTGGATAAACTAGGTACACAGATATACATGCAGGCAAAATAGCCATACACATAAAGTAATAAGAATATGACAAAAGAAAGCTATAGATACTGCACTACACAGGTGACCACATACACCCTTGAACCTACAGTCATTATTCTACCTAACTGAAGCTTGAGTCTTACAGTAAGATTATTTACTCAATATTTTATTTTTAATTATGTATACAAATGCATGTGTGGAGGGTATGTGCATGAGTACAGAGCTAGCAGAGGCCAGAAGAGGGCAATAGGTCCTCTGGAGCTAGAGTTACCAGAAGTTGTGAATACCCCAACAAGGGTGTTGTGACTGAACTCTCGGGTCCTCGGAAAGAGCAAGACCAGCTTACTCCTGATCAATGAGTTATCTCAAGATAGTCCTTTATAATAAGATTGTTTTATTCAAGTAATTTTATACAAATAGGAAGGACAAAGAAGCCGGGCAGTGGTGGCGCAGGCAGGTGGATCTCTGAGTTCAGGCCAGCCTGGTGTACAGAGTGAGTTCCAGAACAGCTATAAAAACCCAAGCACTGTTAAGTTCTAGCTAGTTTCTTTTGTAACTCTCCTCCATTGACTTCCCTTTTGCTTTTTTCCCTTTATTTAGGTGCTGGAGGCTGAACTCCGAACTTTGTCCACTGAGCCACACACATGGCCTCTGCTCCTCTTTCTTTCTTCCTTCTTTTTTTTTTTTTTTTTTTGGTAAGATTGTTGGAGGCATTAAGTCATGATTTTTTTTTTTTTTTTTTGGTGGGGGTGGGTTGGTTTTTTGCTTTGGGTTTGTTTTGTTTTTTGTTTTTAAGACGGGGTTTCTCTGTGTAGCCCCAACTGTCGGGAACTTACTATGCAGATTAGTGTAGCCCCAAACTCAGAGATCTGCCAGTGTCTACCTTCTGTGAGCTGGGATTAACAGCATGCACCACCATGCCTGGCAGGTCTTATTCAACTTCTTTTCACAGTACTGGGATTGTGTGCTGGGCAAGCTCTCTACCACTGAGCCATATTCCCAGACTACCTCCTTTGTTTTCTTAATTTTAAAACATTTTCATGGTTGGTTTTTGGAGACAGAGTTTCAGTCTGTGGCTCAGGCTGACTTGAAACTCACTATGTAGTTCAGGCTGGCTTTAAGCTTGGTGATCCTCTGGCCTAGATCTCCCAAGTGTTGAAGATTACAGAAATGATTCATGCAAGAATGCTGTGTTAATTATGGACCTGCTTTTCTCATTGCAATGGAAACATACCATTCTAAAGCTATGAAGAGGTTCAATAATATGTATTAAATCAAGTAGCTAATCACCTGAGTCAGATGTGGTGGGACACAGTTATAACCTCAGTATTTGGGGGATTACAAGTTCAAGGCCAGTGTGAACTACATAGCAAGACCCTGCCTCAAATGAAAGAGAACCCAGTAGGTAATAATACAGTTAAAAAGAAAAGGGGGGGGGGTTGCTAAAAAGATGGCTCTGAAGTTAAAAGTACTTGCTGCTCTTGCAGAGGATTTGAGTTCTGTTCCCAACACCTACACGGCAGCTCACAACTGCCTATAACTCATGCACTAGGAGATTTGATGTCCTCTTCTGGCCTTGTGCAAATATCCACATAAAGAAAAATCTTAAAGGAGATAAAAATAGTGATTCTCAGAAGAGCCCACACATATTCATACTCTAGGGTATGTCTTTCTTCTGGAGTGCCCCTCAACCTTTGAGCTTAAAATTTGTTTCAAAATATCTTTAGTAAACTAACTCTGCTTTTAAAAATGAAGGTAAAATAAAAAAGCTTCAGAAAAATATCAAAAAAATTTTGTTGGATGGTAAAGCATTACAATACAATCTTGTAGTGGGTCTAAAATATGTAGTTGCTGAAATTTTAGTCAAAAGGAATAGTATTTAGGGATTTTTTTAAAAGCCTAAATGCAGACTAAGTATTTTGGGACCCAGATCAAATGTCTGGGAAAGATATTTAATGCAATTCTGAAAACAATTGTCTACTCTTGGCCCACATACAGAACAGGTTGTTCAACCCTGTCACAAACTAGTTCTGGAGAAAACAAAAATGATGCAGAATCAGGCATGAGCAAGAGTGGGTCATTGTTCTACACCAGCAATGTGGGGAAAGAATCTGTGCAATGCGATGGGAACACAGATCAGCATATATCAAGGTCAGCGGGCTGTTTCTACAGATAAGGGTTAGTTTCATGCTGACTAGGCCCATGGAGCAGCGTCAAGAAAGTTTAAATGGAGTAAAGGTTTGTAAGCACATCTGAAGAACTCAATACAAAATGCATCTTAATCTAGAGTATATTTCAAAATCTCCAGGAACTGTCCCTACATTGTACTTAATAAATCTATCTGATTAGTGTCTTAAAGCTAGAGTATGTGAATTCAGGCACAAATAACAAGTGTTATAATAGCTTGGAGACAAAGGCCAGTAGGGATTCCTTCAACTACCCGGTGAGGTGGCTCAGTGGATAAAGGCACTTGCTGCCAAGCCTGGAGGCCTCAGTTTGATCCCTGGGACTTCCATGGTGGAAGGAGAGAACTGTTGCCCTCTGACCTCCATACATGCGCGCCTATACACAAGCATATACACAAACACACAAACAAATAGCATTTGTACATAAAAAAAATGTATCAGGACACATGGGTTAAGACTGGGACACTTTTAAGACCACAAAACAGTTGGTGCTGGTGTAAAATACAAAATTAGTTGCACAGTAATTTTCTTTTTTTTGCTGCTGTTGTTTTGTTTTTTTTTCGAGAGAGTTTTGGTGCCTGCCCTGAATCTCACTCTGTAGACCAGGCTGGCCTCGAACTCACAGAGATCCACCTGCCTCTGCCTCTCGAGTGCTGGGATTAAAGGTGTGCACCACCTCCGCCCGGCATGCACAGTAGTTTTTAAAACAGGAGGAATTTGAGGCTTATCGGCGTCTCCAGTATCAATTAGTGATGCCCTGAACACAGAGCATGGTGGCATCTATACCAGCTGCTTACTTTTTTTTCTATGTATTTACTTATTTGAGACAGGGTCTGGCTGGTCTGCACACTAGCCTTAAACTCACAGAAATCTGCTTGCCTCTTCCTTCAGAGTGCTGTTCTTAAAGGCATGCATCACCATGCCAAGCTTGCCTCTTTATTTTCACAGATTCACTAAAAAGTTAATTAAATGATTAGAGAACAAGGGTACATTTTGCTTCTCATAAGAAAAACAAACCCAAATGAACAGTGTTTCTGTAAATACAATATAAACACAGTATATATTCTGTACATACTGCAGCATAAATGCAAATTTAGGAGAGGTGTCCTCTTGACCATTCTAGCTCAAGAACAAAATACCTCAAGCTTTCCTTTTTACACATTAAAGAAGCCTGTCATTGCGTGTGCGCACACACACCGCGCACACACCCCAGTGGTAGTTTGCTTGAACTCTAAAAGCCACTGTTTCTTCACAGATACTTAAAGGAAAAGAGACAGTCACTTGCTAACACAGGGTCATAACATCCCCGAAGAGCAAGAAAGTTTCCCCTTCGAGAACTGGACCTTAGAACACTTGGAAACGTCAGACACAAACCCACCACTTATTAGGCTAGGGATGCCTGAGCAGGAGGGGCACAGTTAAGCAGCTCTGCTTCCTGATTACCATTCCCCTTCCCTGTGGGCTCTCTTCACCTCACCAAAGACTTTCAGACTTAGTTGAGTTTGATGCTGTAGAAGGTGCAAAGACTTCATCTTTATTTACAAAATAAATTATTTCACAAATAGTCTTATGAATTACGAAAACTGAAATTACAGATAAGAAATTCTGGACTAAGACACAGGTGTGAACAAGCATGGTGGCACACAACACCTATATATAAATGACCGCAGCATTCCCAAGGCTGAGGAAGGGGGAATCATGAGTTCAAGGCTAGTCTCAGCCATACTGCAAGTCTGAAGTAGACCTGGACTACACATTGAGACCACACATCAAAAACCCACAAAATGGGCTGGAAAGATGGCTCAGCTGTTAAGATCGCTGGCTGCTCTTCCTGAGGTCCTGAGTTCAATTCCCAGCAACCACATGGTGGCTCACAACCATCTGTAATGAGATCTGGTGCCCTCTTCTGGCCTGCAGGCACACATGCAGGCAGAACACTGTATACATAATAAATAAAAATCTAAAAAAGAAACAAAACAAAAATCTTGTTTAAAAAAAAAACCACCAAACAAACCCCCTACCAGGCACAGTGGTATGTTCCTGTAACCTCAGCACTGTGAAGGCTGCGACAGGAGGTGGGGAGCTGAAGACTATATAGTAAGATGCACGTGGAAGCCGTAGCTCTAGCCTACCACTGGTGAAAACCCTAGCAAGGGACCAGACAGTTGACTTATCTTCTTTGGTTTTCAACTTCCTTCATCTACAAAACAAAAGGACTGAAATTGTAGCTGCCAAGCTGCCAATTGTAGCCTTCAGAGTCTACAGTGTATCTTTTTTTTCTCTCAATGAATATGAAGAACATTAAAAACCTAAATACATGCCAGACATGGTGGTGCACTCCTTTAATCCTAGGAGGCAGAGGCAGGCAGATTTCTGTGAGTTCGAGGTCAGCCTGGTATATACAGTGAGTTCCATCCAGGCCAGCTGGGCTATACTGTGAGACCCTGGCTCAACTGGAGAAAAAAAGGGGGAAAAAGGGAAAGCTCCAAATACAAACAGTAAAACAAGTAATAACCACGTCTACTTCATGCTACCAGCCATAGAGTTGAGCTAAACGCCTATGGAGCAGACTACTCCATTACAAGGTAACTCTCTAACTTCAGAACTTCCCGAGATGATCAGAGCACAGTGGAAAAGTACTAGCCTGGGAGTCAGGTGTTAGCTGAGCTAAAAGGCTTGTCTTAGGTAAATATCACCTTGTTCTTGTTCTCAGGTGTAAAATGACAAGATTACAGTGATCTCTAACCCTCCCTAAAACCACAGCTTTTGTTTCCAAGTGGTTAGTCTCAGCCTACCCTTTTGTAATGCATTGCTTCCAAAAACATCTTCGTCTGTTTATAGATTTCTTGGCCTGTCTTGTGGAAGGTCTTGAGAAAGTCTATGAACTCTTTAGTCACTCGATCCGTCTCAATGCTGGTTTGCCGGTTTATGGAGGGACTGGGAGCTTTGGCTTCCTGAATTTCTGCTGAGAAAATTAAACACAGTAAGTTTTGATACCCAGAAGACTGATGTATGGAATTACTCTATGTAGCTAACAAGACTACTGAAATTATATGTAATCAAAGTTAAATTGATATCACTTTATAGTTAAACATTTGGATGAGTGTCCTTAAAGTAAGGAAATGTGAGGGAATAAGTAGATAAAACCACCCGATCTAAAACATACTCAGCTGGACTGGAAACGTTGCAGTTGGTAGAGTGCTTGCCTAACATGTACAAATCTCTGGGTTCCAGTCCCAGCAATGCATAAACTAGGCATGGTGGTGCACAACAATATCCCAGCACTATAATCTTTGGGAAATGGAGGCAGGAGGATCTAGGTCAGTTCAAGTCATCCTTGAGTGAGTTTGAAGTCAGCCTGGGCTACATGAGACCCTGTCTCAAAAAGCCTAGTGACCTGAATTCAATCTCCAAGACCCACAGAATGGAAAGAGAGAATGACTCCTAATTGTTCTCTGTGCTCAACAACTGAATTAGGACACAACTATTCTTAAAAATACAAATACAAGACTGGGCATAGTGGTGACATCCTTTAATCCCATCAGAGGCAGAGGCAGAGGCAGGCGGATCTCTAAGTTGAGGCCAGCCTGGTCTGCATAGTGATTTCCAGGCCAGCCAGAGCTACAAAGTGAGATCCAGAAAATAAGTGAACAAACAGAAAAAGCAAATCAAGTAATAACAAAAAACTCTCAAATTTGTGCAATGATCTTAACAACTGCGTTAAAGTGAGTTACAGTGTAGGAAGGCAGGATACTTTTATAAGATAACAAGTGAAGGGGGCCTGTGCTCCCTCAAGTCAGAAGTTCAACAAAGATGACCCGTGAGTGCAATGAAAAAGTACTAGCTCACACCCTGCCCCCAACCAAATAAAATGTAGAAAAATAAAAAAATAAAAAAACAACTAACCATGGGGCAGTAAGATGGCACAAAAGGGAAAAGTGCTTGCCACAAAGGCCTGGAGATGTGTTTTACCTCCAGAACCCACATAAAGTAGAAGGGAAAAAAACTCCACAACGTTGTAATGTTATCTCTACAGATAAACAGACATACACCCAACTGATAAATTTTTAAATGTTTTTAAACTAGCAAAAAACAAATAAAAGATACTAAATAAAAGCTGCTTATTAGCACTCTTTTAGCCAAAACACACAATGCTTTGAGCTATATCATTAGTAACTAATACCGAAATGGTACCCTTTCTTGAACAACTTTCTTAATGATCACCTGAGTCTGTTAAAAAAAGTCAGCAACCAAAGTAACTATCAAGGGAGTACAAAGGCATCAGGTAACACACGGTATTAGCAAACCTTCCAAATGACATTTCACCTGCCAAAAAGACAAAGGCCAATTTATTTTTCCACCATTCAGTGTGCAAGTCACACTGCTCATAGTAAAAATGCATCCAAGCTGGATGTAATGGCACATGTCTGTAATTCTAGCACTCAAGAGGCTGAAGCAGGAGGATCAAGTTCTAGGTCAACCTGGACTACACAGTACATTTGAGAGCAGGTTTATAGCAAGATTCTAATGCTTTCACACACACATTCCAAAACACATACAAGGATCCTCCTGCCTCAGCTTCCTCAGTGCTAGGACTACAAGTGTGTACCCCCATGCCCGACAAGAAAAAGAAATTGAGAGGCATTAAAACCGACCAACTTCACACTGTTATTTTATTGATCTGTTTTTTGAGACAGAGTCTCACGATGTAGCCCTTGCTGGCCTGGACCTCAATAAGGAGGCCAGGCTGGTCTTGGACTCACAGAGATCCATCTGCCTCTACTTCTTAAATTCTTGGACTAAAGTCATGGGACACCATGCCTAGTCACATTATTTAGGAGAAAACCTCTGACCTCTCCACATATGAGGACATACCCCACCCCTCACAAAACTAGATAGATAAACAGACTGACAGAATTATTTATGTATTTTATGCATATGGGTACTTTGTCTGCATAACAAGGAGGCTTCAGCTTCCATTACAGGCAGTGGTGAGCCACCATGTGAATGCTGAGCCATCTCTCCAGCCCCAAGACCAATAATCTTAATAGGGAAGATGGGCACTTCAAGCATATACACAAAGTAAAACAAATACACAAAGTAAAACCACAAGAAGATGCTATTCCAGAAGTTAACTTGCTGGGCAGTGGGCACACACCTTTAATTCCTGTACTTGGGAGGCAGAGGCAGGTGGATCTCTGTGAGTTCGAGGCCAGCCTGGTCTACAGAGCTAGTTCCTGGATAGCCAGGACTACAAGCAAGAAATCCTGCCTCAAAAAATAAATAAATAAAAAATAAACCAGAAAAAAAAGTTAACCTAGTAATTTAGTAATAATAAAAAAATCATAAAAATTTGTGGTGGTTTGAATAAAAATGCCCCATGGGCTCATATATTTGCATACTTAGTTCCCAGTTGCTGAACTGTTTGAGAAGGATTAAAAGTATTAGAAGGTGTGGTCTTGTTGGAGTGTATCACTGGGGGTGGGCTTTGAGTTTCCAAAAGCCCATGCCAGGCCCAGTGGCCCTCTGCCTGCTGTCTGTGGATCAGGACATAAAGCTCTCAGCTACTGCTCCAGTACCATGCCTGCCTGTACACTGCCATGCTCCCCACCATGAGGATAATGGACTAAGCCTCTGAAACTATAAGCAAGCCCTCAATTAAATATTTTCTTTTTTTAAAAGTTGCCATGGTCATGGTGTCTCTTCACAGCAAAAGAAACCCCAACTAAGACAAAATCTGAAATTTGATCTTGACAAGAAAGCATAATACAGTCTCTTAGACTATACAGGTGGAGTGCAAGTGACAGAACGTTAAAGGGGGCAGCTTAGTAATAACTGCCAGAGTTAAACCCACAGGTCCAGCTGGGCATGGGAGCTGCACAGTGACCCCAACACTCAGGAGGCGGAGGCAAGAGGAATGTTGATTCCAGGCCAGCCTGGGCTACAAAGTGAGACCCCATGTCACAACAACAGTAAAAAGGCTGAACTGGGAACTAAGAACAGAAAAAAGATACAGTCAAATAATCAAAAAGAAATTACTCCTAACCAAGACACAGCAGTCCTAAATGCATATCTAACAAGGCAGCTTTAAAATGCAAAAAGGAAAACCAGAAATGTAAGGAATGAGAAACAAATTCACAACTGGAGAGTTGGATCCTCCACCGTGAGGGCCTGACAAGGCAGGAAGTAGAGAAATCAGTAAGAACACAACACGGGCTGGCAGGACGGCCCAGCAGGTAAAGGACAAGCCTGACAGTGAGTCTGGAGCCCACACAGGAAAGGAGAAACCAACTCTCATATGTTGTCCTCTGACTACCACATACTCACCAATGCCTACACACATATACACACTCATTCTGTGTGTGTGTGTGTGTGTGTGTGTGTGTGTGTGTGTGTAATAAAACACTTTCTTAAAAACCCACAATATTTGTACAATACCATGGATACATATGACCAAACTAAAATTTATAGACTGCTCTAAACAGAAACAGAACATACATCCAGGTGACAAGATAATAAAGGTAATGGCTTACAGTGAGTACAACCGTATATTAAGTGCTTCTACGAGACTGCTGTGCAATCCTCACACACACCAGGTAGTCTCCCTAGAATGAAGCAGCCGAGGCTTGAAGGTGTTTAGAAACTTGAATGATCTTCAGTTGCTTCCATGGTTAAGGGCAGAACTGAACTAGAGTCTGGATGTCTGACTCCTGAGCCAGATGCCTCCCTATACTCCCTTACCCCAGAGGCAAAGAATGCCATGGGACTGAAAGCTTCAGGGTCAAGGGCAAGCAAGAAAGCCCAGTCATCCCCTTCACTGTTTTGCTTATGTACACTCCTCTCCAACAAATACTTCTGATTAAACAAAGCGGGGAAAAGTCCTCAGCTGAGCAACTGTTCATACCTATAATCTCAGCACTTTCAAGGCTAAAACAAGGATTGTTGGGAGTTCAAGGACATCCTGAATTACAAAGTGAGATGTTGTCTAAAAAACCCAGCCTACCTCAAATCCCCCTTTAAAATGTAAGCAGAGGAGCTGGGGTAGAGCTCAGTGCTAGAAGACGGGATTGGCTCTACTGGTGCTCTCCAGACAACACAAAAAGCTTTCAACAAAACAAAACAAACAAGAAGAAAGGAGATGGAAAAGAACAATCCAGTCACATTACAACTGTAGTGTTTGCAGGGGCCAAGCAGCCAGAGTTTGTACATCAACTTATCTCGAGTTTCTCAAATAGAAACATAATTTACAGTTCAAGTCCATCCAGTCAAACAGGATTCTCAAGCTGTCCATCACAGCTCAACAGTTTACAAGGCTTTCCAGCTGAGCAACCTTGTACCAGAAGGAAAGTAGTGTTTCAGCTGTCATTCAAGGAGCGCTTAGTAGGTGCCAGACACTGTGCTTCTTAATCACTCACTAACTCGTTACAATTTCACAAGGTGGGTAATAGTACCACCTTACATGTGAATCTTAGAGAACCTGTCACTACCTGTCCAAAGCCATGTGCTAGTAAAGGGAGAGCTGGGATTTAAAACCAGATTGGAATCCCAAGCCCAGGCAGGTTCTTTATAACTACACTGTACCACCCTGTGATTATTGCAGCATCTGTTTATGTCTACCTAAATCAGTCCCAGAGGGGCTCAAAAGATGGATTAGTGGCTAAGAGCACATACTGCTCTTCCAAAAGACCCAGTCTAGTTCCCAGCACCCATGAACGGTTCACAACCAGTTCCCAGCAGGCATGTTGAAAAGTTCACAACCACCCATAACTACAGCTCCATTGGACCCAATGCTCTCTTTTGGCCTCCCTGAGCATGGTACTCACACATGGACACACTCATACAAAATAATAATAATAATAATAATAATAATAATGATAATGCCACCAAAGAGGAGGGTACAAGTATGTCAGCATGCCAAGACAACAGGCTCACTTAAACCCAGGAGTTGGAAGCCAGCATGGGGAATACAGTGAAATCTTATGTCAATCACTCAACTAAAAAAAAAAAAAAATCAGTGAGTACTAACCAATCACCTGCTATGTATGATTGTTAGAAAGACAGACCAAATATTATATCAAAGTTAGCCTTCGATATATGAAGAGAATAAAATCTAATTGTATTTGAGTGGTTATGAAGAATAAGACAGCCTGAGGAGGTGGGGAGGGTCAAGTATTTATAACACAATCCTGGGAACTTGAGTTTGATTCCCATCACCCACTAAAAAAGCCAGGTGAACTGTCATGTCTGTAATCCCAGCAATGGGACGGCAGATACTAGATCTCACTGCCAGTCAGCCTATCCAAATTGGTGAGCTCCAGGTTCACCAAGAGACCCTATTGCAGATAGTAAGGTGGAAAATAATGAAAGAAGGTACCCAATGACGACCTTTTTGACACCCACTCAACACAAATGCACACACCCACAAAAACACATACATTTACCACACACACAAATTCTTCAAATCCCTTAGAAGACTATGCTTTGTTTGCAACCACACTCCCTTGGCTTAAGACCATTCTTTTGTACTACTAATATAAATAAAACTAACAGGAGCACGTATTAAGGAAGTAAAATAAAGACAGAATAATAAAGTTGACCACTGGTCTGGACTGTAAGTTGAAACTGCACCTGATATCAGCTGAGTGTGCTTACAGAAAGGCCAAACAAGCAAGTAGGCTGAAGTGGAAAGCTCACCTGGCAAACTTACATAAGCAACCCGTGAACTAACAGCCAGCAGCGCCCTCACTGAGAAATGAAGGATTTTTAAAGACTCTGAAGCTTTCTCCCTACAAAACAGCTACAATGTTAAAAAGCTGGAGTCCAACTCCTAACATTGAAAAGCAAAAGGCGGCTGTGGTGGTGCATGCCTCTTACTCCAGCTGGAGATGAGGGCTCGAAGATTCCAAGTTTGAAAAATCTTCAAGGTGAGCCTGAGCTACACAGTGAGTTCAAGGCCAATCTGAGGCTCCAAGCATGACCCTGTCTAGAAAACCCAAGGACTGGGGACATACCTGGTGCTACTAGAGCCCTTGCCTAACACTCAGGAGACCCTAAATTTAATCCCCAGTATTGGGGAAGTGGGTAACAGATAGAAACCAAAGAGAAAAGTAGAACTCCCTACTGGTGACAACGTTTTCCTAGAAGCTGGAAAGGCAACAAGGCAGCTGACCGACAAAGAGCTAGCCCACAGGAACATTAATCAGTCCCTCCTTGCCAACATTTCAGAGATTTGTGCTGGCATTGCTAGGGAAGCTACAGAATTCCTAAATGTAATAGTTACTTTCCAATATTCAGAATCTGAAGACTGGGCCAAGTATCTTTTTAAATTACACTTACTCAGGCATTTGGTTAGTGTGAGAATGTGCATGTGCGTGCTTATGTATGGGAGTACACATGTTGCAGTGCACCTATGGCGGTCCGAAGACAATTTTTGGGACTCAGTTTTTTCCTTCTACTACATAAGCTCTGGGGATCATTCAAACTCAGGTCATCAGGCTTGGAAAGAAATGCCTTTATGGACTGAGCCACTGTGCTGGCCCAGTCAAATCTCTCTTTTGAATTTGAAAAATTGCTTTTTCACATAATATACCCCCAAATATCTTATAGAAAGAATGTGGCAAGTGAATGTGACTCCTGGCCTCAGCTCCATGTCAGTCACTGGAGTCCCACCACTTCATTGAGCAAATATGCTTCAAGGAATCTGTTCTCAGAAGAGGGGTGCAAAGGTAAAAGCTATTTTGCACACGAGTTTTTACAATGCAAATCTTTTATTGTATGGGATCGTTTATCTATACCATGCAGTACTGCAATGGACTCTGACTGCACAAGAGGCTTTTAGAATGAGACTTTCTGAGACCAGCAACAGAGACTGGAAAAGTGCATGGCACCAGATGCCTAAGCAATAGGAATCTCATTCAATATATGGACATACTTAATACAACATTATATTTAATATGTACTTATGCTATATACAAAATGACTACATGAGGCCTACATATGCAGAAATCACATATGTAGGTATTAAATGTAAACAGCAATAATCATCATATCTGGAAGGACGGAAAGGGTCTTCCAGGGGCTATCATTGCTCATTCTGCCTGTAAGTAATCCATTTGCTCTGGGAAGCATGCATGGGCTATGAGAAAGCAATCCTCCTGCCAGCATCTATGTGCACCCTCAGTCTCTCTCACCATTTCACACTTACAGCATACTGACACAACCAGTATCTTTTCAGCCTCACTCAAACCTCTTTCCACTAGTCTGTCTGCTCACTGAGCCTTTAATTTTATTTATTTATTGTTTTAATTTTATTTCATATGGATGGATGTTTTGCCTGCATAAATGTCTGTGTACTAGTTCTATGCCCAGTGACCAAGAAGGCCAGAAGAGGGTACTGGATCCCCTGGAACTGGAGTTACAGACAGCTGTCAGCTACCATGTGGGTGCTGGGTCTCAAACCTGGGTCCTCTAGAAGAGCAGCTAGTACTCCTGACTGCTGAACCATCTCACCAGTATCAAATCACTATGCCTTTAATGACAATCTTCTTTACACAGCATTTTTAATGCATTTTTATTATTTGCGATTGTGTATATGTGTGAATAAGTACAGGTGCCCACACAGGCCAAAGGCATTGGTTCCCATGGAGCTGCAGTCCTGACAGAACTGGAGTCCTCCACAAAAACAAGGGCCCAATTAACTACTAAGCTATCTCTCCAGTCCTCACTGACCATTTTAGGAAGCAGTTGAGGGCTGAGAGAGCCTCAGCAGTTAAGAGTACATACTGCTTCTTCCAGAGGACCTGAGTTCAGTTCCCAGCACCCACATCAGACAACTCACAACCACCTGTAACTCCAACTCCGGGGATCCCACTCCTCTTGTCTCTTCAAGCACTTGCACTCACATAAAACATTAAAAACATTTTTTTAGGTGAGAAAAAGAAGTAGATAAAGGAGCAAGGGAGAATGTAAAGTGCTTTGCCGCACAAGCGTGAGGACCTCAGTTCAGCTCTCAGAGTTCACACCAAAGCTGGCATGCTGGCACAAACCTGTGATCCCAAGCCTGGGGGGACAGAGACGGAAGACCCCTGGGACTCAATAGCCAGCTAGTCTAGCTAAATCAGGGAGGCTCGGGTTCATTAAGAGACTCTGCCGCAGAAAACAAGGTGGAAGCCGAGTGGTGGTAGTGCACGCCTTTAATCCTAGCACTCAGCAGACAGAGGCAAGCTGATCTCTTTGAGTTCAAGACTAGCCTGGTCTATAGAGAGTTCCAAGACAGCCAGGGCTGTTACAGTGAGAAATCCTGTCTCAAAAAACTAAGAGAGAGAGAGAGAGAGAGAGAGAGAGAGAGAGAGAGA